AGCCAATTATCTTCAACTACAGTTATTAAAAAATGTTTAAAAACAAGTTCATGGACCTCAGGTTAAATTACCCTGACCTCGTACTTTTCTAATACTATTTGGCTTGTTACATTGGCCCCAGGGAAAATTGACAACTAAATTGTTGAGTCATGTGTCTTCCCAGGGGATAGAGGAAGGGAAAATAAAAAGGTAAAGCATATATAATGTAAATCAGATATAGGATAGATATTTATTTCCTAGATACATAAGAAATACTAAAAAACACACGATTACCAGCAGTCATTGACAGAAACATGTTTGAGCTAGTGGTAGTACTGTTATACTCTGCCAGGAAGTTGATGCTCAAGACCATCTAAATGTGAAGCAGTGTCTTGGACTGCCAATTAGGCATTTTACGTTTTGTTACAGCTCTTCACTTGTTGCCATTAAAGTCCGTATCTTCTAGCAAGTTAGGCCAGTGAGTGAGCACCTCCTGTAAGTGGAGTCTTTCCAAGGCAAGACATCTTGAACTCGTAAGGTAACCTCAAAGCCTGGACACATCCGTCTTGAGAATGATGTTAGATCACCTACTTAGGAAAGGAAATACAAAGTAAAAAAGGCAGTCAGGGACCCATGAGTAAACTTGTTCAGTGAAATCCTCTTGCTCTAGCTGCCATGCAGAAGGAGCCACCTATGGGCAAGACCCCCCTACTCCTTTGTGCAGAGTATAGTGTAAGAAAGAGCTACTCTAAGGTAGTTATCATGAGAGAGTCAAAAGAAGAGTTTACTTGAAGCTGTCTCTTCTTTTTAATTGATGCTTCATCCCACTCTTCTGCAACTGTCACAGGGTAGGGGTGGGACCAAGGAATTACCGAGAGTTTGGTGACAGAGTTTACAGAAATAAGTAATATGAGATAAAGCTGGAATGGGAGGGTGATATCAGACTATTAAAGGCCTTGAACACTGGTCAAAGATTGTTGAGTGATGTGACCTTATCTGTGTATAATGATTAGTCTGGCAATAGTATAAACTATAAAGGAAGGAAGTAGCATATCATTTTTTGGCTGTGTGCCACTGGAGTCCCAGAAGGAAGGATTGGGAAATGAGCATTCAAAAACGGGACCTACTTGCTTGGAAGATCTTCTGGCCTCCTTTTCTTGTAATTCTCAAAGCCAGGTTCACAAAGACATCACCAAACTGGTGAACTCTGGGAGAGAGTCTGTTTGGCCATTTCTGGAGTTGAATGTGTCTTCTGCAGTGCTCTCCAGGCAAAAGGGCTTCTTAGAAGCAAAGGCACAGAGGGAGAGAGTTCCAGGCAGGAGGGACATACTGCTTTCAGAGAATGGCTAGTAAGACAATTTAGTTTGAATACATGAAAGAGGAGTTAAATAAGGCTGGAAATGTGATTGGAACTAGATTGTACAGGGCTTTAAAAATACAAGACAGAAGAGTTTAAACTTTAAGGTACTGGAGGTTTTTGAGCAGGAGAATGACAAGATCAGACTTGCGAATTAGGAAGATTTTCTTGACAACTTTGTGGAGACTGGATTGGAGCAGGGAGAAGCTGTTGTAATAGTCTCAGAAATGAGAGGCTGCGGCCTCAGACACTTGACACTTACTAGCTGTGTGACCCCAGGCAAGTTTAACCCCTATTGCCTTACTAAAAAGCAAAAAAAAAGAAAAAGAAAAAAAGAAAGAAATGAGAGGCTGAAGGGACAGCTGGGTGACACAGTGGATAGAGCTCTGGCCTTGGACTCAGGAGGAGTTCAAATCTGGCCTAAGACACTGGACACTTACTAGCTGTGTGACCCTGGGCAAGTCACTTACCCCTGAGTGCCTCACCAAAAAAACAAACAAAAATAAGAAATGAGAGGATGAACTAGGATTTGGGCATTGTGAGTGGTGAGCAGGAAATGAATATTAGAGATATTACAAAGGTAGACTCGACTGAACTTGGCATATTGATTGTATTTGGGGCTGGGGAGTGAGGGAAAAGGAGTTAGATTGACTTAGTTTAAAACATGGGTTATTTGGAAGATGATACTTTTTTTTTGTCGAGGCAATTGAGGTTAAGTGACTTGCCCAGGGTCACACAGCTAGTAAGTGTGAAGTGTCTGGTCTGAAACCAGATTTGAATTCAGGTCCTCCTGACTCCAGGGCTGGTGCTCTATCCACTGAGCCACCTAGCTGCCCCAGATGATGATACTCTTAAAAGAAATGGGGAAGTTTGCAGAAGTAGGTCTAGACAGGAAGATGATGAGTTCAATTTTGGAAGTGTTGAATTTGTGGTGCTTCTGAGTAATCCAAGTAAAGATGTCAAGAAGGTATTCAGCAGTGCAGGATTAGAGTTCAGAAGAGAGGTTAAGCCTAGATACATAGGTTTCCATTTGTATAGCCATAATAATGCTTAATGAAATAGTTGGCTATAAAAGAGTGGCTAGACAGGCAGGATCAAGAACTGAGAGAAGTATCATAGAGCATCTAAGGGAAGAGTGGTCCTCGATGTAAATACCTGCAAAGAGGTCAAGGAAGGTTGAGGACTGGGGAAAGAACCTTAATTTGTCCATTAAGTGATCGTTAATTGTTTTTGAGAAAGAGTTTCCTCAGGAGCGGTAGACTCGAGGGATTGAGAAGTGAGTGATTAGTGAGTAAGTGAAAACAGTGGATTTAGATGACTTTCTAGAAATTGTGCAGTAAAGCTGAAGCAGAGCTAGAATACTTGAGTGGATGTTGGGATTGAGTGAATAGTAAAGGATGGGAGGAGACCTGAGTATATTTGTAGTTAGTGGAGAAGGGATCAGTAGATAGGAGGGGAGGAGAAGTGATTGATGGGGTAACTTCCTAGAGGAGTTGGGAAGAAATAGGGTCAGAGGCACAAGAGGACACAGTTAGCTTTTTTATAGAGAAAGATGGCTTCTTATTCAGTGATTAGTGCAAAGGAGAAGACAGATACAAAAGGGTTTTAGATGTGGAGTAAGAGATGAAGAAATTTACAAGGTATAACCTCAATTTTCTCAGTGAAGGAGGCATTGCCTCCTGAGTAAATTCTTTCTACCATATTGAACCACCTTTCTATAGAACAGTGGTTCTTAACCTGGGAGTCTGTGAACTTTTTAAAAAAAAATTTTGATAACTGTATTTCAATATATTTGGTTTCCTTTGTACTCCTAAGTATTTTTTAAGCATTTAAAAACTTTATTTTGAGAAGGGCTTCACCAGACTTCTAAAAGGGATCATGATGCAGAAAAAAAACAAGAATTCCTACTCTAAAGAGAGTTGTTCTAGAACTGTTCACGTCTTGGAATTTATTTAATGGGACAGTCATATGGTTAGATCTGTGATTAAGGTGAGTTACTTTGGCAGATATATAGAGGAAAAGTTGGAGTAGAGAAACACTTGAGATAGGTAGATGAATTGAAGGTTATTGTAATAGTCTAGTATTTTTTATGTGTGTATGTATATGTGTATATTTATTATATATATAATTACTTATGTCCATGTTATTTCCCTAGATAGACTGTAAGCTCTTTGAAAATAGGGTTGTTTAATTTTTTTCCCCTCATATCCCCAGTGCCTAGCATGTAGTAGGCATTTTAATAGATGCTTTTTGGTTGGTTGAGGAGGGGTAGAAATGAGAAGAGACTAGCACAGCTGCCTGATTAAAAAAAAAAATCATACAGAAGTAAAAGGCTTGGTTCACAGTGGTTAAGGTCTGGTTGTGGTTAGCAAGATGAATTTATAGTAGAATGATCTGGCAACTTTGTGTGATTTTGTACTCAGCAGGTTTGGAGTGGGAACAGAAAATAACTGAGTGGGGAAGGGTTGATCAGGGATGCAGAGTGGTAAAAATAAGATTAGCAGTTGAATAGGGGGGCAGGGCATTCAAGGGAGGAGGACAGTTGAGCTTGGTATATATGGAGTCCGTTGTGAAGGGACAAAGCTGAGGCCCAATCAAAGGATTGGAGGAGGTGTGCTGGACCCAACTCGTAGTCTTGAGAGCCGGTGGATTACTTACCCCTCAGAAATCAACACATGCTACAATTCAAGGCTTGATTTATCATTTTGTTGATTGTCTAGACTTAAGAAAGTTATAGAGAAAATGTTAATGATGGAGATTAAATTTAAAAGTATATAATGTGTACTTTTTTCCCTTCGGGAGAGCCAATTATTGAACATATTTGTTTGCCAGCACACTTCTTGAATGGAGGTCATGGTGAGGTTGTGATGGTGAGAATGATTTGGGAGAGATGAATTATGATCAGACAAGGGAATTTCAGGGTTCAAAATTTTGGAAGTAGAATAGCTTCAGGTGATACTGAGATTTAAGGTGTAACTATCTTCCTGGGGATCTGAGAAAAAGAAGAGAAGAAGATCATAAAGAGTTTGTGGAGATGAGCCGGGAGACCAGGATATTTTAGGGGATAGACATCAGTATGTATATCGAAGTCTCCAAATATGAGAGCAGGAAGACCAAGAATGGAAGATGTTCACTAAAATTGCTACCAGGCTCTGGACTAGGTAAATAGATGGGTGGAAGGAAACTCAGAAAAGGAGATGTTGTTAAAAGAATCTTTATAAATTTCATTTTCTGTTTCAGTAATTTAAAATCTAGTAGAGTAGAACCTTGTTGTTATTTTTCCTTGGTTGCCATGAACTCTTTAAAGGTCTGCTCTGTAAATTAAGGATGCTATATGAACGTGATATAGTGGATAGAAAATTAAACTTAGAACACCTGGGCCCTGGCTCTGCCGCTTTTTTTTATACTAGCTGTGTGAACATAAATAAATCACTTAAAAATTTGGTGCCTCAGTTTCCTTATCTGTCAAATGGGAATAATAATACTTATATGCCTCAGGTTTATTATGAGGAAAGCACTTTGTATGCCATAAAGCACTATGAAAATCTCAGCTGTTATTATCATGTTGAGCCTCTTTCTCTTGTAACTTGAATTTTCTTTTCCTTTCTTCCCTCACATCCCCTTGATGCAGTGATAATTCCCCTCTCCTACCCTCTCTGTGCAGACCCCTCCAACCTTTGGGTTCCTCTTCGACATTGATGGGGTGCTTGTCCGTGGTCACAGAGCAATCCCTGCTGCCTTGGAAGCCGCCCGAAAGCTGGTTGACTCGAATGGGCGTCTCCGAATGCCGGTTGTCTTTGTCACTAATGCCGGAAACTGTGCACCACAAGTGAAAGCTCAGGAGCTGTCGGACTTCCTGGGTCTGCAGGTGAGGGAGGACTGCAGAAGGATGCAGCCCTTAGAAGCTGGGCTTTCCGGCCTTGGCAAAGGCGTTACCCACAGTTCGACTGCTCAGCCTTCCTCCGTCTTTTGGTAACCTCTTACTTGGGGGTTTTCTAAGAGTTTCACCTTTTGTGTCAAAGCCCCTTTTCAGGCCACCCCAGAGTGCCTCATTTTCCTTGAGTTCCTTGCACTCTTCAATGCATTCAGCAAGCCCTTCCAAGGCAAGGACTATGTATATTCACGTTTCTAGTACAAATTAGAAAGTTACAAAATGACTAATTTGTTGGAAAAATGTACCAGAATGCCTAACCTTTTTGAGTATTTCTTTAGTCACCTTGGAAAGCAATGCATTTGTTCCAGTGTTAGTGTCCTGTTGAGAACATTTGTGGAATGCTCTTGAATTGCCTTTAGAACCTGCAGCACTTTCTTCTGAATATCCTCAGTGGTGACAAATCCTTTGAGGTTGAATTTAATTTTTAATTTAAAAAAATTTTTTTTTTTGGGCGTCACATGTTTGGTCTGAGGTTGGATTTGAACGCAGGTCCTCCTGACTTCAGGACCGATGCTCTATCCACTTCGCCACCTAGCTGCCCCCTTGAATTTGATTTTTAGAAACAGCTAAAAATCATTAGGAATCAGTTCTGGTGAATAAGCTGGGTAAAGTTAATAGTATCATAGGATTTAGATCTGGCAGGGACCTTAGAGACCAACTAGTGCAGTTCCCTCATTTTACAGATGAATAAATTGAGTCTCAGAGAGTTTAAGTGACTTGGTAAGCATTACACAGGAAGTATTGATGAGATCAGGCATTCCTACCCAGGCCTTTTGACTCCAAGTTCAGTGTTCTATCCATCATATTGTTTTTGTTTTTCTTTCTTTTTTTCTTTTTTAAGACTGATCTTTGTGTAGCTTGGAAACAGATCCTAAATGACATTCCAGAAAGGTTTAGAGAGTCAATATGACTGCTTTGAATGATAATATTGACCTAGCTGCAGAAGCAATATAATGTAGTCAGAGGACCTGGGTTCAAATCCCAGCTCTGCCAATTATTAGATGTCTCTGTGTGTGTGTGTGTCTGTCTGTGTGTCTGTGTGTCTGTGTCTGTCTGTTTGTCTTTGTGTGTCTCCTTGGACAAGTCACTTAATTTCTCTGAGTTTCTGTTTCTTCATTTGCAAAAGGAGTAGGTCAGACTAAATGATCTGTAAGGTATCTATCTCCCAACTCAAAATCTATAATCCTTATGATTTTTTCCAGCTTTCTATATACATATATATATATATAATCCTTTTTTATGTCATAGTAAAACCTGGTTTTATTACTTTATAGTTATACCAAATAAGTTCATAAGAGCTCTCTTGAAGATGATGAATCTTTTGTGAATCTAGGGGTTAAAGAATTAATCTTCCAGTGTGGAATTTTGGGGAAAAAAAGAAAATAAAGGCAAATTTCCTTGAAAATTAAGTGCATACATACAGCTGTGATTTTGAAATGGGGTTATTAAGAAATCCCTGGGTCTCTTAGGCAGAGGGACTGTTTGGGTAAAAAAAAAAAATCAAAGTATTAACCTGAGGTTGGTTTCTTATTTATTTTGTTTTGTGCAAGAAACAAATTGCAAAGTTTTTGCCTCAACCTTGCAAATGGCTTAAGTAGGGTGTCAGGTGCCAAGTTAGACTTTTGCTGGGCTATTTTATTGATTTTTTTTAGTGTATTAGAGGAGATAAAGCTTACAAGACTGTATTTACTCCCTTGCTTCCATATGTTCCATATTTACTCTGTCTCTTATTACCCTTATTTACCCTTTCCCCCAATCCTATCTCTCTACAGGTTGAACCAGAACAAGTAATACTTTCCAGTAGCCCCTTGAAGTTCTTCTCGAAGTTCCATAAGAAGCGAATGCTGGTATCAGGGCAGGGGCCTGTGGTGGAACATGCCTGGAAGTATCCTTCTGGTGTTCTTTGGGGTTGGAAATGAGTATTAGAGCCTCTGAACAAAGACTAAATGAGGATGTCTAATTGGAGATTAGAAAGATGCCAGTGTGAAATCAGCAGATCAATGGAATGTAGTCTTAGCCACGAAAGAGTGGCAGGCAAGACAGTAAGGAGTAGAAAGTTGAGCTTTCTCTGCCCTTGATGATCAACTTTCTAGCCTTCTTCTACGGGCCGTCTCAGCTTCAAGGAGTCAGTTGGTTCTGCGGGAAAGAATACATGAAGTGCTGTCCTTATATAACTCTAATTAGATAACCAAAACATATTCATAAAACTGAGATTTATACAAATTAGTAGATGATAAAAGTTAAATTCATCAGTATACAGTGTTTAACAATGTCAGATGCCCCCAGATGAGAGATTGAAAAATGATGAGGAGTATGAGGATTGAAAAAATGTCATTGAATTTGATGAAAAGTCACTGATGACTTTTTTTTTTACATCTTTTTTTTTCTTTTTTAGGCAGTTGGGATGAAGTGACTTGCCCAGGGTCACACAGCTAGTAAGTGTCAAGTGTTTGTTCTGAGGCCAGATTTGAACTCGGATCCTCCTGACTTCAGGGCCAGTGCTCTATCCACTGCGCCACCTAGCTGCCCCACTGATAACTTTTGAAAGAGCAGTTTTCATAGGTATAGTCACAAAAACTACTCAAAAGATTTGCGTCAACGGAAGGTTAAATCCACTTATTTCAGACATTATGAAGGTTTGATAGTTGTCTTCAAGTATTTGTTCTGATTGGCTCCCCCGTAGAGGGTAAGGCTAGGAGTAGTGGGTTGAAGATGCAGGGGCAGATTTTGACTTGATAAAAGGAAAACCTGCCTGTTAAGAAAAGCTTCTTAAGTTAAAAGCCACCTGGCCTGGCCTGTTCGGTGAACAGTGAATCTTGAGCACTAAAGGTCTCCAAGTGGAGTCTGGGTAATGTTTTGTTAGGGACTCTTTAGAATGGATTCCTGTTTAGGTCTGGATTATTGTCGATGGCCTTCGAGGCCCCTTTGAATTGAGATCCTTAATTCTGTGCGTCCCCTCTTCCTCCAGGTTTACCATGTTTCCCATGCCACTTTCACCGTCCTCCATGCTCCCTTCACCAACATGTATCAGAATTCACAAACTCTAAGGTGGGGAGACGTAAAGTGACGCTTTTCCTTTATTTTGTCCATATAGTTTCGGGGACATGATAATCCTGGGCCATGGGCCAGCATGAAGGTAGACTAGGAGAGGCAAAGGAGAGTATGAATTGATGCTCATAGCTTAGTGTGGTGACCGAGGAATCTGGATGAAAGGAGATCCAGCTGTAGTCTCTTGTGAACTTCGTTAGGATTTTGTTTCTGTGGCTGGTGCCAAGGTGTCGACTAGTCTGCTTTCATTTGTTGTGTGGCAGCATAAATATTTTGGCAGCACCAAGGCTGTGTGAGGCTCTGGGAGGGGCAATATCTTAAGCCATTGCCCCTCGTGAAGCTTATGTAAGAATTGGGATGGGAGGTGGCAGGTGGGATCCATGGTCCCAAACCCTGCTTGGAAGTTCTACTTTTTTGCCTTCATACACACAGTCCTCCTGGAGTAACTTCATCCTCTTTTCCTCCACTTTGGCTCCTTTCTATCTAGCTGAGTCCTGCCCATCCACCAAGGCTTAAACCACCCTCTTTGTAAAGCCTTCTCTGGTTCCCTGGACCCATGATGTTCTTTCTGTCCTCTAAGCATCAGTAATACTTAGTGGCTGTTCCATTTGGCACATATAGAATCATTATATTTAGATTAGTTAGAGACATTGGAGACCATCTAGTCCAACTCCCCCATTTTACAGATGAAGAAACTGAGGCTCATAAAGGGGAGGTGGCATACCCAAAGCAAGTAGAGGCAGGATTTGAACCCAAGTCCTCTGACATGGGCTTTGTTTGTACTCCTATGCTCCCCATATATTTTAGTTCTACAATTAGATTATGCTTTGTTGTACCCAAGTTCTCTTCCCTTCCACCATGGGGTGAAGCAGAGTGCTTTATATACAGTTGATGCTAAATGAATATTATTGATTTGGTCTTTATTAATTTTAGCCTTTACAATAATAATAAACTAACATTAATAAGCTGCTTTGTAGTTTGTAAAGCTTTTAACTACAACCCTGTAAGATCATAGGAATAAGGATTTAAAGCTCAAAAAGATTGTATATCTGCTCTCTGCTTCCATATGCTCCCCAATTATTCTCTTTCTCTCTCTTATCACGTTTACGCTTCCCTCTGATCCTCATCTATCTGCAGATTGAACCGAGTAATGTTTTCCTATATCTCCGTCCTGAGAATTATAGGTCAGCGACTTTCTGAGGTACACAGGTAATAATGGGCAAAGCTGGGATTTGAACCAAGGTCTTCTGACTCCAAGTTCTGTGTTCTTGCCATTGTACCATAGTGAGATGGGTAATACAAGTATTATTCTTGGTTTATAGATGAGGAAACTGAGACTCAGAGTTTAAGTGCTTTTCCCATAGTTTCATGACAGATGCAGGACAGATTACATGACTGAAAATTCATTATCTTTGCCTCTTAAATCCACTTCTCTTTTTAATTTATTTCCCTGTTTCTTTTGAGGGCACCACTATCCCTTCAGTCACCCAGGAATGCAGCTTTGAAGTTACCAAGACTTGCCAATTCTGCTTCTATAATCTCTCCTCAGTCTTCTCTCCTCCCCATTTGTCACCCCTTCCCCATTTCAGGCCTTTATCACCCTTCGCCTACACTGTGCAGTAACCTCCTCCTAATTAGTCTCCTTGTTTCAAGTTTCTCCCTCCATCATCCGCAGAGTTGTCAGATTGGTATTTTTAAAGCACAAATCCTCTCCGTGTCATTGCTCTGCTCAGAAAGCTTCAGTGGTTCTCTGTTGCCTCTAGGATAAAACTCTGGCTCTAAACTCTTTTTCCAGACTTATTTCACACTCCTTCTTTCCCACGCATTTCCCCTCAAGGACAGGGAGATCTAGGTTTGTCTTCCTCTGACACAATCAGGTTGTATGACCTTGATCAAATTACTTCTCAGCGATATGCAGCTCTTTAAGACTGTGAGTTTCAGAGAAGGTGCTGACTTGGACAAGTAGAGGGTGTTGCCTCACTGGGGAATTCTCTGTACCAATGAATTGCAGGTCCAGTTCCCATCCCTCACTCCTCACTTACTGTATGTTCTAGTCAAACTAACCTAATTTAGTGTTCCTTCCCCATGACATTTCTATCTCCTTGGCAAAGGCTGTCCCCTACACCCGGAATGTGCTCCTTTCTTACCTTTGCTTCTTAGAATCCCTCGATCCATTTGAGGCTCAGCTCATCCTCTACCTCTTATGCAAGGCCTTTCCCAAGCCCCTAACTTGTTAGTGTATCTTCCCTCTCCCTCCCCTCCCCATTTTCTTATTATCTTGTATTTACTTCCTATCTTTGTAGTATGAGAGCTAGTGTGGTATAGTGGATGGGGAAACTTGGCTTTAAGGCCGACTTCTGACACATACTGGCTGTGTGTCCCATGGCAAATCACTTAGCAACTCCATGTTCTAGGCTACTCTCTAAAATGAATTTCAGAGAAGGTTCCAGCCTGCGTTGGTAGAGGAGTTTCTCCACCAAGAAGTTCTCTGTACCTGTGAAATCACGGGTCCAGTACCTATTCCTTTCCCTTTATTTTGTATTAACTTACCTTTCTTTACTTTTTCTCCCCCAGGTGTATGTAAGTTTTTCGAGGGCAGGGACTTAAAAAATTTTTGTATTTGTATCTCCAGAGTCTAGCACGGTAGCCTTGGCATACAGTAGGTACTTAATATATAAATACTTTTTGAATTGAAGTTGCAGACCTACTCCAGATTCTGACTCCTGGTCCAATGTTCTTTCTCTCATACCTCACTGCCTTTCTTTCTAGGCTGATAGCATAGCAGCACATCCATGTACATCCTGCTGACTAGACCCAATCAGGACCCACTGTGTGAGGGGAGACTTCTCCTCCCTGCTGTCCTCCCTTACCAGAATCTTAATATTTTGTAGGTAGGCACTTGCTTGGGTTGTGCGTGAGGGTAGGATGAGTCTCATTGATGTGTATTATGTGAGCAGTTTCTTTGGTTCATTTTTTGGTAAGACTTTTTTCACTCTTGGGGCTGTTGTGGTAGGAAGGGATCCTTATGATTGATGTGTTTCACAGATAGTATTGGATGATAAAATGGTGTTTCCTTTAGTAGTATATCCATATTGTGGCTTTTTTTGTAACTTAAGGCTTTCTTCCACTGCTGCCCAAGCTTCCTAGTTGGGCCTGACCTCTGTGGTGTTACAAAGATATTCCAAAGATAAACCTGACTTTATATACTGTTTTAAGAGAGACAGCATGGATATAGGCCAGGCTTGGAGTCAGGAAGACCTAGGTTCAAGGTACGTTTCTGACACATACTAGTTGTTTGATCATGGGTAAGTTCTTTAACCCCTTGGTGCCCCAGGCACCTCTCTTAAGATTTTAAGTTACTGGAGTTGCTGATGGGATGGAGGACCTTTCTACTCACAGATTTCTCTGTACTGGTAAAATCTCAGCCCAGGTTCCCTCCTTCCCCCCCAAAAAATATTATTATAGATTATTTGCTCTCTTTTTCTCTGGTGATATAAATAACAGAGCTAATATAGTGTAATGGCCAAGGATTTTTGTTCATTTTGTTCACCGTTTTATGCATTTTGTTCACCATTTGTAATTTGATGAGGAGTAAATAGGTTAAGTCATTACTCCTCTTGTTCTGACTTAAATATGGCCTTTCTGATGAGGCAGCAGCAAAATCTGTGTGTCTTATTTTGCTTCCTTAATTTCATGATCCAGCTTGGGTTTCCAGAATGTAGTTACTGTTGATGAGTTGAGACAAACATTTCCTGTACTTGACATGGTTGATCTTGAACGACGGCCAAAGACTATGGTATTGAGTACAGAATTGGTCTGGAATCCATCTTCCTCTGGAACCCAGTATCCCAACATTCTCTCCTTCCCCCTTCCTTCCAACAGTATCTTCCATCCATCATTGGGGGCCATCTCTAGTCATCCTGATTTATATCTTTCCACTAGATTCAGGTGGCTTCAGAGGAGAAAGTGAGGCTGATGACTTTGCACAGGCCTCCCTCACTTAAATCCAGTTCACTTGCAAGTCATAGCATAACCTTCCTGATGCCATGGTTCTCTTCAAGAACAAAGGACAAAGGACAAACAACAATCCATCTATCATTATAACCTTACGGCCCCTTCCACTAGGATTTTTGATGGTTATCCCAGTCAACTTTTTGACCACTAAAACAGAAAAGGTATCCCCAAATATCTTTAATGAATAGAATCTGCCTGCTACACTCTCTGAGACAAATGGTGGTCTAGTCTATTCTTAAAATGCTATGGATCCCCCATAATGGGCTTTTCCAGTGTCAACTAACCCATACCTTCAGCTCCCTTCCCAAGTATCTTGCTCCAAGATAGACCCATTTCCTACAATTCTTTATTCATTAAGGGGAAATTTTTTCATGTGCTTCAAGGTGTCCCTCAGCCTTTGCTTTTAAAAACCAGATAGCCCGACTCTTATTTCTGTGGCCCTATTTCTCAAATCTATCCAGTCTCTCCTTTGTTTTTTCTTTTGTTGTTGTTATTATTGGTTGGGCTGAGATGCTCCCTTCTCAAATCCACAGTTTGAATTTTGGTGTGGTTTCAGTAAGCAGCTGAGTATGACTCAGTCACATTGACAGCTTCTGTGATTTATCTCTCAACAGCCTCCCTTGAAGACTGACTTCCCCCCCATAGAAGGTGAGTGAAGTTCTCTGAGGTGGTATGATTTTTGTGTCTCAGCCTTTTGGTTTTGTAAAACAGATGAGGAGTTTAAAATGATCTCTTGCCTTACTCCAGTGAGGACCTAACTTTTCCAAAACAATTACAGACTCTTGAGCTTAGAGGTGATATAGCCTAAGGCCTTCATTTTCCAAAAGAAGAAATAGGCCCAGAGTGGTTTCAGCAATATGCTGATTTTCCTATTAGTCATTGGCAGAACTGGAGCTGAGGAATTCTCATTTGAATGGCACTGACTCAGCCTCCATTTGGGCCTCACTCCAGCCTGCTGCAGAGAATACATGGTGAATGTCTTGCAAAACCCTTACTGTATGTGTTTTTTGTTTTTTAAAGGGGTACTCCTCCTTGGAGAGCCAGTCCGCTGGGAGACAAGTCTCCAACTTATCATAGATGTCCTTCTCAGCAATGGGAACCCTGGTACAGGGCTGGCAGTAGCTCCCTACCCCCATCTTCCTGTCCTGATCAGCAACATGGATCTCCTTTGGATGGCTGAAGCCAAGATGCCTAGGTGAAGAATCATGGTCTTTAGTCTTGGAGCCCTGACCTTGGTCTCTGGCTGTGTCCTGATCACCTATAGCCATGTTCTTCTAGGTTTTATTCTGATACTATGAGAATTTAGTTCCCAAGCTAGGAAGGGCATATATTCATCTCACAGTCTGGGAATCTTGGAGTTGGTTTCACACATCCCTTTACATTATTAGCAAATACTTAATAAATGGGCAAGACACTGTGTTAGATGCTAAGGATACAAAAAAGTAAATCTTTGCTTTAAAAGAAGTTATTAAGTAGGCTGATAGCTTAGAAACACAGCTCTAACAATACACACACACACACACACACAGAGCTTAGATATATCTAGAAGAGGAACAAGAATCTGAAAAGTATAAACATCAAAAATTCAAACAATTTCCCTTCCTCTACCTTTACCCTAATGTTATGCATAATTGAATTTGAGGTCGCAGAGTATTGGTATCTTAGAGTAATGATGGTCGGGATAGGATAGAGGTGGGACTTGTGTGATTTCATTGGTATAGGGAACTTCTTCCACTATTGCAGGTTGGCACCTTCTGTGCAGCTTGTCTTAGAGAGCTGACTAGGGCATGGAGGCATTAAGTGACTTGCTCAGGGTTACACGGCAAATATATAGTAGAGGCAGGACTGGAAGCCAGGTTTTCCTGGCTCTGAGGCCAGCCCTTTATTTGGTTTGCCAGGTGGATTTTCATAGCACAGATACTTTTAGTCTCTTTTTATTCTAAGAGGAAGGTTGGGAAGAACCAGAAGTATTCTGCTGACTCTATAAATGATAGGAATAGAGCCTAGAGTCATCAAGTGACTGTCTCAGTGTCATAGTAAGTTGTAAGGTCAAATCAGAGCCGAGACCTCCAAACTTTAGGTCAGTATTCTTTTTTCTCAAATAATGGTACATCTTACAGTGTTGTATAGACATCATCAGATTATCTTCTCAAATGAAACAGGTTTGTCTCAGTAGCAGACAATGTAATCCTTGCCTGGATTTCCCCTGTTCCTTGTCCCTTTTTCCGTAATTGATAGATAGGATGTTCTCCTTGCCCTGCCACCAATTTCCAGTAAGTCAATAGTTAAGTAACTCCAAACCTTATATACCTTACCCCCTTTCAGCCAAATAAATCTTAAGAGTAGGACCAGTGCTCTGATATTTTTGGTTTAATGACTATCAGTCAGGCATTTTCTGAGTGCTAAAGTATCTGGCATTCAAGAGGCTGGTTATTTGCCTGAAATTAGGATAAGCTCTCACTGGTTATGTGGGCTGTGGGTCAGTCACAGCAAGGTATAAGATTTATTCTGAGATACCAAGATCTGTATCACAGTTGTGAATTTTCTATACATTGTAACAAAGTTAAAAATACATCTCTTTTCATATAGCTTTATGCCAGAATACAACTTTTATTTTTAAATTTAAAAACATTTGTTTTACCTATATTTTTATTTATATCACTATAATTTCTAGTATATTCTTCCTACATCTCCTCCACAGAAAGTCATCCCTTGTAACAGAGAATTTTTTAAAGAGAGAAAAAAAAGAAAAACTTTTCTGTAAAACTAACCAGTATATCATCTGAATTTGACAGGATATGCAGAATTCCTCACCATTATCCCTTATCTCTCTAGTGAAGGGACTGCTTTCCTATGAAATGGGAGTTGTGGGAATGGTGGTGGTGACTTAAATAATTTTAATTAATTAATTAATTAATTTTTAGTTTTTGACATTCACTTCCACAAGATTTTGAGTTCCAAATTTTCTCCCCATCTCTTCCCTCCTCCCACCCCAAGTCCCTGTGTATTCTGAATACCCCTTCCCCTGATCTGCCCTCTCTTCCATCACCCTCCCCCCCCCACTTCTCTTATCCCTTTCCCCTTCTATTTTCCTGTAGAGCAGGATAGATTTCTATACCCCATTGCCTGTATATCTTATTTCCCAGTTGCATGTAAAAACAATTTTTAACATTTGTTTTTAAAACTTTGGGTTCAAAATTCTCTTCCTTCCTCCCTCCTCACCCACCCTCATTGAGAAGGTAAGCAACTCGATACAGGTCATATATGTGGAGTCATGCAGAACACTTCCATAATAACTATGTTGTGAAAAACTAACAATATTTCCCTTCATGCTGTCCCACTCCCCATTTATCCTGTTCTCTTCTTTGACCCTGTCCCTCCTCAAAAGTGTTTGCTGCTGATTACCCACTCCCCCAATCTACCCTCCCTTCTATCGTCCCCCCTCTCTTATCTCCTTTCTCCCAGTTTTCCTGTAGGATAAGCTAGATTTCCATACCCAGTTGAGTGTGTATGTTATTCCCTCCTTAAGCCAAATCCAATGAGAGTTAAGATTCATTCATTCCCTCTCACCTCCCCCCTGGTTACTTAAATATTAAAGTTACTTAAATGGATTCATGACAGTGCTTTTTAAGTTAAAGTTTCAGAAGTACCGTTGCTGCTTAACCACAGCTGGCGGAGGGACCACTGATGAGGTTGAAGTAGAAATTTCATTGAGAGGAAGGAATGGCCAGGTGTGGAAGGTGAACTAATAAGTTATCTTCTTGGTCAGGTTTGGCCACGGCACGTTTCTTCTCTGCCTGGAGAGCATCTATCGAAAAATAACAGGCAAGGAACTGAAATATGCAGCCCTGGTGGGCAAACCCAACATCACTACCTACCAGTATGCAGAGTCTCTGATCAGGAAGCAGGCAGAGGGACGGGCCTGGGGGGCCCCCATCCGCAGACTCTACGCTGTTGGGTAACACCTTGTGCCTTCTCCTTTTCCAAACCTCTGGCCTCAACCCTATCCTGTCTTCCCCCTGCCACCTTTCCCATCTCCCCCCATATACACTTAGAGCCTTTCCAGTTCTCCCCCCCCCATTCCCTTACGAGGTCCTGTGTTTTGGCTGCTTCACTTACGTTGGTTTGCTCTTCTCTTCTGGCTGCCTTTGCCCAGTGATAATCCAGTGACTGATGTATATGGTGCCAACCTGTACAACCGCTACCTGCAGAAGAATAGAAATGGTGAAGTACAGGAATGCTATGAAGTGATGGAGGAAAAGCAGGGATCACCAACAGCAGAGAGATGCTTGTCCATCCTAGTACGTAGTGGGGTATACAATCCTTCCCTGAGACAAGCAGAGACCCCGTTCCATGGGCACCGAGACTTCGTCTTTGACCCCAGCCTGTTAGAAGCCTCACATGTGGTGGCTGACGTACATGAGGCAGTACAGCTGGTTTTCTGCAAGGAGGGCTGGGACCACATATAGCAGCAGTGACAGGTGGGAGGATAAGAGGTATGGTGAAGGGGAGGGAAGAAACCTGTTGAGGGATTGGTGAATATTGATTGCTGGGGAGCCCATGCAGGATAACCAGCACGTCATAAGGAATTCTCAGGGTCCACTTACCCAAACCCCCTCCAGTCAGACCCCTCAGAAATAATGATGATATTAACCACAAGAGAGAGACTTTGCTTGTAGTCCTTTCTGGTACAGGCCATAGGAAAATAGGTTAGGTAGCATCTTGGGTGGAAAAGTCAGGATTTCTGACTCTGGTGTGAAATGACTGTACATTGTCATGACTGATTCCTTCACCTCTGTGCCTCTTGTTCATGACAATTTAAGTGGGATTAGATGTCTCTACAAAAGAAGGAAGTGAAAAGTGATGGTTTGTAAAGGACTTTTGCCCTCGTTGAAGGATGCTGTTGCATGTGTCTGAAGTGTAACTAACTTTATATAGTGTATTTTGAATGGTCTCCAGAGGTCCTTGCACTGATTTTTAAACATTAATAATATTGAAATGAAAATAAATTTCCATTATACTATCTAGCAAGAGGTTCTTTATCTGGATTCTGGGTGCTATAGCAAAGCTTCATTATTTGGGAGGAGGTTGTTAGTGAACTCAGGGGAAAGACTTCTTTGACATTTTCCTCCTCAGATATGGTGTTACCTAATTTTCCAAAAAAGAGGGGAATGTGTGTGCACACATGCTTGTGCATGCATACATCCACACAGCAGCCTTTATATTACTTCTGTCCTTTGCCCTCCTGCAGCGATTATTTCGAGTGATTAAACTTCTCTCTACATAGTAATGAATTATCACCATTGCTTTATGTAGTGTTTGCTTTGATCATTTATATACCCCAGATTAGGGACATTTTCAATTCATTTATTTCTAGTTATCCTGAAATAAAGAACCCTTCCCATGATAGCTGTAGCCCTAAAATATGGGTGTTTTCTCTTTTTTTGCTACCATCCACAAAAGTACAATTCCTGATTCTCTTGGCTCAGAGAGTGTCATAAGATGCAGTTTTTACCCTTGTTATTAGGTCTCCCTGAAAAGGCATAACCCTTAATTCTCTTGACCCAGAAAGTCTGATCTCTCTATTTACAATTTATCTCCAGAGCCCCAGAGTCCTTCCTTAAAGGATCATAGACCCTTAGACCTCACATATTTTCTTATAGATGGCCCTAGCCTTATATAATTCACCACCGGAATTTCTTGATCAGGTAATAGTAATTATAATAATAATAATAATAATAATAATAATAATAATATTTGTATGGTGCTTTATACTTTTCAAAACATATTAACGTGATATCTTGTTGGAATTCCATACCAACCCTACAAAGTAGTAACTGATAATACTAGTTTCATTTTTGTAGATGAAGAAACTCATGAGACAGGTAAATGACTTGATCACGATCCCACTGTGGTAGAATTGGAGCTAGATTAAGAGTTCTCTTTCCTCCCTCTGTGGACAGCTTTCTGTTCTAGAGTAAAAACTATCAGCTTTGCTCCCTACCCAGATTCCTTTGTGTACTTAGCCTTGGTGAGGAGATTCTAAGGGATGCCACAATAGTGGACCAAGTGAGCTAAGCTGATCAATTCAGAATCTATTCATTCAGTCATCCATTCAATACTATGTATTGACTGCTCCCTATATATGAAGCATTGTACCATGTTCAAGACCCAGTCCCAGCTCTCATGAAGCTTGCAGTCTAGTGAAATTATATGTATGCAGCTATATAACATATAATGTGATATGCAAAAGTACATGGCACCCTGGATAGAAAACCAGCCTTCAGAGCCAAGAAAATCTGGGTTTCAGTCCCTCCTTTGACACATTTTGGCTACTTGACTCTGGGCAACTCACTTAACCTCTCTAAGACAGAGAAGATGCTAACCTACATTGGAAGAGGAATTTTTTTTTTTTTACTAGGGAGTTCCATATACCGTCAGAATCACAGGTCCAGTCCCTATCCTATGGAGGATAATATAAGAGGTATAAAGTACTCTATTTCTTCATAGGAGGAAAAGGTTCTGATTGGGAGGGGCAGTGAAAGATACATGGAAGAGGTAGACCTTAATGTAAGCCTTGAAGAAGGATGTGTAGCAATTGAACAGGTAAAGCTGGGGATATAGTAAAATCAACCCTAAGAATAAAACCACAGGGATTAGGAATGTAGTCTTAGCTTGAGAAATGCCTGATAATAAGAATTTAAGCTTATAACTTTTCAGGGTTTATGAAACACTTTCAACAAACTTTTGAGATACGTCTAGGCATAGTCCTGACTCCTCTTCTGCATCCAGACTAAATTTTTCTTTTCAGTGACAAAAAGGAAGGACGACTATGTGTATATCTATCTCCTGCTTTGCTTTTTTGTTTGAACTGTGAAGCAAGAACCACAATGAACTGGATTCATTTGCTGAATCCTGAAATGAAATATTCATGTTTCTTTCTGAGCCAAACTGAAGGTATTTGAACCATTCTGAGCCAAAATATACAGAATCTGAGCTGTATATTTTCTAAAATTATTGAACTGGGACTTCAAATTGTCTCTACAATATACTAATATTTTGTTTGGATCAGGAATTTTTAAAGTCATTTCCTGGTGATCAGAATAGCCAAATTTGGCTTTGGGAAGGAGCTGTTACTGTCTTAGAGTAACCTTTTTTAGTAGAAGCATCTTGTGGCATTCGTGGCTGCCTTCTGGTGTACGTGCAGCCAGCATAAAGAAGGGAACAACCACATGAGTTGTTGGGTTTCCTTGGAGAGCTGGTGTTGTCATAGCAACTAGATACTGCCTTGGAACTAAAATTTTAAAATAGCTATAATTGTTTTTAAAAGCTTGCTCTATCACTCCCCCAGAGCCATGTGACTGCTGTTGTCACAGGGCCTTACAGTAGGCACCAGTTCCTCCTTACCTAGAGATCTAGGTAACTGCTTCTGGGTAGGGGTGTTAACTCATGGTGTAACCTGCCAAGGAGCTAGAAGAGGTACAATTTAGTTTTCATGGTCCTTTGGCTCACAGGTTTAAAAACCTTATCTCTTCCTTTTGGGGGCTATATAAGAAAACTTTATTTTGAGATTTTTCCTCTCACTGCTTATAACCTTTTGGTTTATAGACATGCTTGTAGGGTTCTTAGAGTTGCCTAGACCTGTCCTTTCTCTGCTGAGGGTGTTTTCCTCTTTGCACCCCAATCCTTCCCCCTTATCTTCTATTTCCTCATAGCCTCCATTACTAACTTTGTCCAGCTTCTAGTAACTTTTAGAGCACCAGTGGAGGGAGCTTGGACTGCAAAAGTGTAAAGTCCTCAATTGAGATGGATCTTTATGTAGGTGGAGTGGTGTGGTTTGACTTAACCTAACTGAAAATATTCCACTGCTCCTAATCATGAATCCTAACATTCTTAGCATCCCTCTTACTCCTTGATGGCTTTATTAAAGAGCATAATTAGATGACGTCACGGAAGTTAGCTGAGTGGGGATTGGACTGTGTGAACAGTGTCAAGCAAAGACTTTAGCAGGGATTAATTTACAGGTTTAATTAATCCATGTCCAAAGACAAACTTTGCTTTGTGAAGAAAGGTCGTTGGGAGATGGGAACAACTTCTATTACTAAACTGCCAGGTTTCCCCAGAAGCCTTCCTTTCCTTTCACTCTCCCACCACTAACAGTTAAACCTAATTCCTGAGGATAACTGAGAAAACTTGATCCTTGTTCCCTGAGTTTTGGCTGGAGAATGTCCAGAGGATGGCCAGAATGGTGAAGGGCCCCAGTAGCATGGTGCAAATATTGGCCAAGGTACTGAGGATGGTTATACTTGGAGAAGAGAAGAGTTAGGCAGGAGAACATGATAGCCTTCCTGAGTTATTAGAGGGATTATTATCTTTTTAAAAATTAATTTATTTTTAGTTTTCAACATTCACTTCCGTAAGCTTTTGAGTTTTAAATTTTCTTCCCTCCCGAAGACGGTGTGCAATCGGATACAGGTTCTACAAATACATTCCTATTAAACATATTTTCACATTAGTCATGTTGTAAACCAATCAGAGGAACCACAAGAAAGAGAAAACAAAACAAAAGAAAAAAAAAGAGCCAATAATATGCTTCAATCTGCATTCAAACTCCATAGTTCTTTCTCTGGATGTGGATAGCATTTTCCAATATGAGACTTTTGGAGAAGTCTTAGATCCTTGCATTGCTGAGAAGAGCTAAGGCTATCAAAGTTAGTCATTGAACAACGTGGCTGTTACTGTGTACCACATTCTCCTGGTTCTGCTCACTTCACTCAGTATCAGTCCATGCAAGTCTTTCCAGGTTTTTCTGAAGTCTACTTGCTCATCATTTCTTATAGCACAATAGTATTCTGTTATATTCATATACCACAACTTGTTCAGCCATTCCCTAATTGATGGGCATCACCTCAATTTCCAATTCTTTGCCATCATGAAAAGAGCTGCTGTAAATATTTTTGTACATGTGGGTCCTTTTCCCATTTTTATGATCTCTTTGCGATACAGTCCTAGAAGTGCTATTGCTGGGTCAAAGGGTATGCATATTTTTATAACTCTTTGGACATAGTGAGGGATTATTATCTTGAGGAGGGATTATGCTAGTTCTTCTTGTGCCCTGAGGGAGGAAATGCAAGTAATAAGTCTAAGTTGTCAAGAGGAAATTGAGACTTGATGTCAAGAAAACCTTCCTAACAATCAGGGCTGTCCAACAGTGGCCTGACCTGCCTCAAGGGGTGTGTGTGTGGTGGGGCAGTCTACCTCTCTTAAGATCTTTGAGTAGAACCTGGATGACTCCTTTTGGGTATGTTGTAGGGGGTGGTGCTTGTTCAGGTATAGGTTCAACTAGATAAGCTTTGAGGTTTTTTCCAACTCTGTGATTCTGTGCTGGTGAGGACTTCTTCCTTTATTTCTGCTGAACTGTTAAAGTCTATGAGGGCCAGAACTGTATTTTATCTATAACATTGGGCGTGTGTATCCTTGAATAGTGGTATCAAAGTCAAATAAAAACATATCCCTGCAAGCCACGGGTTGATTTAGAAAACCAGAGATTAACATTATCTCTCTTGTATGTTTATTTTGTTAAACATTTCCTAATTACACTTTAATCTGGTTCAGGGCACGGGGGAGTTTTGCTGCCAGCTTGCTTGAGTTTGACACCTCTGCACTAGACCTTTCAGCTTCCTCCTTGCTCAAGGATTCTGGGTGCACACAGACTGGGTTTGATCCTTGGGGTCTGACTCCATGAGGTCAAATTGTTTATATCCTGACCTGGATTTTTCCAGGAAAATCTCTTAGGGAAAAAAAAGCTTTGGTATGGCTTGTGTCTAGAGTTTAACCTTTGTGGGAGTGTACTCATTGTACCTTTGTACAATGGGGTATGGGACAACTTTTTATTTTGACCACCACAAAAAATACATAAGATGCAACGGACCCATAGGTGTGCATGAACAAAACACTCAAAAATAGCCTATTATCCTCATCACACTACGCTGGATAGTAGAGAACTTTTGTGCAACTGGACAGATAT